GCTCGGGGGTGGGGAAAAACACGCGCTGGACGTGGGCAGAGCTGAGCCCTGACCCCCGGCTCTCGCCCCGCCATCGTTTGTACCCATACATTGGTACCCCGCTGCCGAAACAGTGCAGTTTTTATCAACTCTGGTCTTAATTCTGTGTCTTTACATGACCCCAGTGACAAACCCACCAAATCATAAGAACAGATTCGTGATATATCCGATTATGTTTCCCCCAGCTGTCCCCCTGTCGTGGCTTAGGCCCAACCCACCATCGTGCGGGCAACAGATGCCCCCCACTACCCCTCTTCAGAGAGAGAGGCAGAGGAGGCAAAAAGAGATGTAGGAGTTTAGAAGGAACTAAACTACTTCAATGAAATATTATTAATAAAATAAAAATAATGAAATATATACAAAACCATACCGAGCCCCCAGGATGACAATCACATCACCAACTGGCACTGGGGCAGTCCCAGACTGGACTCAGTGATGGACGGGAACTGGATTCCGGATCTGGATTTAGGATCGGGATCAAAGGCAGATGAACAGAGTCCTCCTTGGCCATCGGCCATTGAAGAAAGAGGACTGATCTTTGATCCCTCAGCTTTTATACTGAGCATGAGGCAGATGGGATGGAATACCCTGTTGGTCAGGTTTGGGTCACCTGTCCTGTCCGCGCTTCCCCGCAGGTGGGACCCCTCTATGCTTCTCTGCTTCCAACCCCGCAACGGGGCAACTAATTAAGTTAGCTGCCTTGGGTGTTACAGCAGTAAGTATAAGCAAGAGCCTCCCTCCATACCACGCCTGGGCATCAGCTATAAACATTGGTCTTATCACTCTGAGAGTGAACAGTGTCTGCACAATGTGCTGTTAATTTCAGTAGTTCGAAGAGGCCCAGCTAAAAAGTAAAGGTACTGAACAAAATTGGTCCTGTTTTACCTCAAACCAGGACACCCCCAAAGTCATACAATATTGTGTACAACTGGCAAATCATTTTCCAGGAGGTCCTCATTTAAAACCACCCATACTTCCCCAGATCATAACCCAAACAGTTCCTGTAGCTTCTTAGTTTTCGCCTTTGTTCAACACTGCAGATCTTTGCCTTTTCTGAAACTTTATCAAACAGTAGTTTTATGTTTTCTTGCGGGTCATCGATGAAAATACCAAGCCATATCATTTTTAATATTGACCTCTGTTGAAGTCCGCCAGAAATCTTGCTATTCAGTGATGAAAGCAAATATTTCTAGGATCTGTTTTAAACTGTTTTTCACCGGTTAGTGGTTAACGGGTAATATTTGCCATGTTATTATGTAGCTCTGCTTTTTTAACAAAATGCCACATAGTTGTATTTCTGTTTGATGTTTTCAGCAAAGAATTAAATCAAGTTTGTTTGATAAGGTTTGTTTTCTTCATTTCGCTGACTCTTGTGTTTTCATTTGCCCCTTCTTTAATTTTTTAACTGTATTTTCTTCCAGTTTCTCCTTTGTTTCGCTTTGAACTGATGTCACACTAACTGAACTGCAGGCCACTGTGGGTGTCTTGCTGCTAGGTCAGAGCACTGGCAAGCAGGTTAAAGGAGAGGCAAAAGCAGTAGGTGCTGGTGCAAAGATTGGTGGATCCTTCTGTTTGAAACTAAGTAACTGGGTGGTTTTGCACCCCAGCCCAAAGTGCACGGTAAAAATGCCTGATATTACACTAAATAATGTGCCAATCTAGACACAGCAGCAGATAGTTTGCCCAGCTTCTGAGAAGCTGTCAGCAGCGTAGACATACCCTTCAAAACAGTAGCAAAGGTTGTTTGGGCATATGTTGAGAAAAAGTAATATATAATAAAATACATCAATATACAACATTTCCTTTTGGTCTAAGCTAAAAGAGACCTGATTCTTTTTAACATTGTTTCATGACTGCTTCGCATGCATGATCCAGTAACCTCTCTACCCACAGAACTACTCTACAAAGAATAATGCTCTTTTTGCCACCTTCTTGCCTACAAAACTGAGGGGCCTTCAGCTCAATCAGACACATAAGCGTGGACTCTCCCCATGTCCCATTGTGGTTCTCTACCACCTCTCTGTTTCTGGAAACACCTTCATTACTGTGTCAAGTGATATCTATAAAAAGACAGAGAAGTGTTAATACAACTTTTATGATTTTTAAAACCAGCTCAAGTCTCCTGCAAACAGTCTCAAGATAGTTGTTTTCAGTTCTTGTGTGAGTTAACTTTAAATAATGGTATTCTTTCTCCAGCCTAATTCACAGAAAATGAAATAACTCCTTTACGTGGCAGGCTGAAAACACATGGCCTATAAACGGGAGACAGAAGAGGGGAAAGAGACATTCATGTTAATTTAAAAAATTTAAAGCATTAGCTTACTGAAGTGCTTAACGGTGTTATGTAGGGATACATCTGAATCAGTGCTTTAAAATACTTTTTTCTTATGAAACATCATTTCAGATTTAACTGTGTATTTGTGTAAGTGAATTTGGAGGTCTGAGTGCCCCAGTCTGTTCTGAAAATACAAACTTAATCCCATATTCAGCGAGCCTGACTCTGGAATTTCCTTGTGTTTCTACAGTCTGTACTACACATGCTGAATTCCTGTACAGGGTCTTACATTTCCATTCTTCTCTGTCATTTCATTAAGGAAATACTCTATTTTGTGATGACTGAGGAACAGGTACTGAGGGTTCAATGCAGCCTGATCATGAATGGCTTTCTGTGTGCCCAGCTTTAAATAGGTAAGCCTTGATTTTCAAAAATGTGACTATTTGCTGCTCAGGTGAAGTAAGATCGGTTTTCTAGAGCTAGGTGTTCAAGCACCGAGAATTAGAGGATCCTTTTGAAAATTTGGGACTAAATGATTTGCTCATCTCCACAGTGTAGCCAAGTTTACATTTCCCATCTGCTTGGTTCTCTTTCTTCCCTGTACTCAAAACTGCTACCCATGCAGTTAGAGAATAGAAGCTAAAGTACATCTTTGAGTTTATGAAGTCAGTGGTAAAATCGGTAACTCTAATACAAGAAGGATTTTGCCCATGAAAGTCATGTCTTAAAAGTGAGAAGAAAAAAAAAAAATGAGCAGTTGTATAGATTTAGAAATTTATAACACATATGTGCAAGAAAAATTGTTAGGCATTAAAAAACAGAGGAACACAAGGCCAGAAGATTCCATCAAA